CCCCTACATTAAACTGCAGTGGTTCTGGGGACTATAGTGTCCCTTTAATGTGAGGTAAAGTAGAGATTAGTCCCACTAATAATATAATGGATTGCCTACTTACCACCAGATGAGGACAAGAGGATGATGATGGGCTCAGGCTGCAGTCTGGCTCCACAGGTCTGGTGTAGAACATGCGCTCTGGAGGCTGTTAGTAACAGTGCTCACAAAAATCAGCGAACAGGAAGCAGCTCCATTTTTGGGGCCTCTTACACAGCTCAATGTCTGGGCCCCCAGAGCCTGACCTTGAGTATGCCTACAAGGCCCGCCCATAAGTCCACCTACATGGCCCAACCATGAGCATGCTCACAGAGAGTGACGTGTATATATTTAGGGGATCTGCTGTGCATTACTGTAGAGGATGTAATGTGTGTGTTCTTATGGGATGTAGAGTATAGGGATACCAATTTGTGTAAGGGATGTAGTGTGTGTGTGTATAGGTGATGCAGTGTGTGTTTGTGTGTAAGGAATGCATTGTGTGTTTCTGAGTGTGTGTGTGTGTGTGTGTGTGTGTAAGAGGTGCATTGAATGTGTGTAAGAGATGCATTTTGTTTCTGTGTGTTTGTAAGAGAAGCAGTGTGTGTGTGATTAAGGGATGCATTGTGTGTTTTGGTGTGTCTGTATCTGTGAGTAGGGATGCATTGTATGTTTCTGTGCATGTGTGTGTGTAGGGATGCATTGTGTGTTTCTGTGTATGTGTAAGGATGCATTGTGTATGGGTGTAATGTGAAAGATAGGGTTTGTGGGGTATGAGAGGGGCTGAGAGGGGAACAGCTCTTTATTTTTATTATTATATATATATTTTGTTAATATACTTTTTTTGGTATATTTTTTTTCTTTACGTTTTGTGTCTTACACCCCCTTTAGTTTATCTCTGACAAGCCCCTTGTGTGTCTCTTACCCTCCTCTTTGTATGTTTTACACCCCCAAGCCCCTTTATGTCTTACTCTTCCCAGCCCCTCTGTGCTTCACTTTCACCCCTTCCTCAGCCTCTCTGTTTGTCTTACACTCCTCCCCCTTTCCTTAATGATCTATTTCACTCCCCCTCCCTTAATGGTCTCATCTTCACTCCTCCCCCTGTCCCTTAGTGCTCTCCCTGCCTGTCCATTAGTGATCTCCCCTGTCCTTTAGTGATCTCTCCTCCCCTCCCTTAGTGTTCCTCTCCCCTCCCTGTCACTCAGTGGTCTACCCCCCCCTTAGTGGTCTTCTCTCTCTCCCTCCCCCTTAGTGGTCCTCTTTCTCCCCTACCACCTTAATGGTCCTCCCTCTCCCCCCTCTTAGTGGTCTTGTCTCTTTCCCCTACTTCCCTTAGTGGTCCTCTCTCTACCCCACCACTTTTCTGGTCCTTCCTCTCCCCCCTCTTAGTGGTCCTGCCTCTCACCCTTCCTCCCGTTTAGTGGTCCTGTCTCTCTCACCCCCTCCCCTTTAGTGGTCCTGTCTCTTCCCCTCCTCCCCTTCTGTGGTCCTGTCTCTCACCCTTCCTCCCGTTTAGTGGTCCTGTCTCTCTCACCCCCTCCCTTTTAGTGATCCTGTCTCTCTCACCCCCACCCCTTAAGTGATCCTGTCTCTCTCACCCCTTCCCCTTTAGTGGTCGTCTTTCTCTCCCCCTCCCCTTTAGAGGTCGTGTCTCTCTCACTCCCCCTCCCATTTAGTGGTTTTGACTCTCTCTCACCCTCCACCTTTAATGGTCCTGTCTCTCACCCCTCCTCCTCTTTAGTGGTTCTGTCTCTCTCTCACCCCCCTCCCCTTTAGTGGTCCTGTCTCATTCCCCTCCTCCCCTTTAATGGTCCTGTCTCTCTCCCTCCCCCCTTTAGTGGTCCAGTCTCTCTCACCCCCTCCACTTTAGTGGTCCTGTCTCTCTTACTCCCCCTCCCATTTAGTGGTCTTGAGTCTCTCTCACCCTCCACCTTTAGTGGTCCTGTCTCTCTCCCTCCTCCCCTTTAGTGGTCCTGTCTCTCTCACCCCCTCCCCTTTAGTATCCCTGTGTCTCTTACCCCCCTCCCCTTTAGTGGTCCTATCTCACTCTCACCCCCCTTTAGTGGTCTTGTCTCTCTTTTCAGAAGTAATACACAGTTGGACTGAGTGTCAGGAATTGCGGTCATAAGTATTGGGCACAGAATAACATTGTATGATTGATGTAAAAAGATGTGTATACAATATAATTCCTAAACAGTACATAACATCACGTTGGTATTTCCGGCATTATATATTTTTCATAGTATCTACATCATACTGGTAATATATTTTTAGCTAAGCAATTACAATTAGTATCTACACAATCGAGTTAGAATAATAATTGACTTGAACCAGTTTGCTTCCATTTTTACTTTTAATGTCTACTACAGTCTAAAATTTGGAGCATACCGGGGGCTGCCATCAGCATATCCTTTTATATGGAGTGTCTGGTCACTGAAGTTGATTTATGTTCTACCTGGATCATGATTGGATGAAAGCACTAAACAGACAATCAGAATTCAGAATACAAGCAGATAAGGTCTTCTTTTCCAGTTCCTCTTTGGTGCCTTAAACAAAAGTGCAGATGTCAAATCTCATGACTTTTACATTTAACATGTCATATGTTCACAGACAAAAATGTAGGCCTCAGTTTAATATTTCAAAATTAATTATTGATTAATTAATGGCACAATTAAGTATTAATTAAATTATTAATTATGTAATTAATTGTATAATTAAGTGTAAGCTTTCCAAATGTTTTAATATTTTTGGATACATGTTTAAAATGATTTAATATTATCAAAAGTGTTTTAATTTTGTAATATTTTGATATTTTAAGATTTTTAGAATATAATTTTTAAAGCTTATCCAAAAATATTAAATATTTTTAAAAGCCTATCAAACAATATTAAATTGAGGCCTTAATTCCTTTTGCACTAGTTTTATATATATTTTATACTATACAGTTGGAAATCAACTACGCACTAAAAAGACCTCATAAGAATATGTAACTCAAAGACATACTGGCATATGTTAAAAAGGTGAATTACTCATTGTGAAATATGTAGGCTGCCTTGGCTACCGGGTAAAGTAATGTAAACTTTAAGCAGTAGGCATGTTTGTTATTTATGAGGTAAGAGCATATCTAATGAATGAGTGACACTTCTTGTTTTACAGTTATTTGACAAATTTCTTGACAGATTGAAAATATAAATGGTTTGTTTGTGTTATGCTTTTGCAATTGCTTAAAATTACATTTACAAAAGATCTATAACAAATCAAAATTAGAATAATACATATTAGAACAATTACATGAATTTAACCACAAGAATAATTTGCAGATGAACATTTGACAATAACAAACTTGGATATTCACAATTAACTTGTCTGGCCTTCCAAAGTCCAAGAAAGGGACTGCACCCACTAAACAACTAACAGGATCAAACCAGTGGTTCCTCATTGACTGAAGAGGCTACATCCCCATAGATATGATAAGTAAGGAGTAAGAAGTCCAGAATTACATAGGGTGCATAAAAAAGCAGACTTTGCTTAGAGTGGCTTAAGTAACTCTAAGAGCTGGAATGTTGCCATTCCTGTCTAAAGTCTGCACTTTTTAGATGCATCCTAGATGTGTTAACTCTCCTGAGCTAAGCCCTGTAGTACAGGTCCAACTCATTGGCTGAGAACATCAGATGATCACTTAAGCCAATGAGCTAAGACACGCACAGCTTGGCTCTCTGTCTGAAGTATTAGAGGAAGGGAGTGGCACCAGGTGGATCCCGGGTAAAAACTTTAACCGTTTTAAAAGTATTTTCACTACTTACAATGGTGAATGGGGGTTAAGGGGCTAGGGCCTTCTCACACCACAGCCACTTCATAGAGCTGTAGTTGTTATGGTGCTTTAAGTGTTCCATTGAACAAAATATAACCTATTAATCTAAATGTATTCTTGTTTTACCTGTGCACACTGCAGTTTAAACAACCCTACTGGTGATGAATAGAGAGTTCGTGAACTGTCCACCGGCGAACAATAGCGTGTTCGCGTTGGGCGAACATATCCGATTTCCGGTCCGCCCCCTATACGTCATCATTGAGTAAACTTTGACCCGGAACCTCACAGTCAGCAGACACTTCCTGGGAGGGAGGGTCTGCTGCTGATTGGGTGGAATGTTTCTGCTGGCTGTGAGGTTCCGGGTCAAAGTTTACTCAATGATGACGTATAGGGGGCGGACCGGAAATCGGATATGTTCGCCCAACGTGAACGCGCTATTGTTCGCCGGCGGACAGTTCGCGAACAGTTCGGCGGACAGTTCGCGACATCTCTAGTGATGAATAATGCTTACCTTTTGGAATAGGTCTTACAGTTCTATAAAACAAAAGCAAAAGCACATGTTTAATTAAGCGATCAGTACCCATTTTAATAACATTTGGTGGAACAATTGGTGAGTTGCTAAAGAGGACAATATTAAACGGCTAATATTGTGAGTCTCAGGGCAAGCTCCTTGAGAAGTCATCCATGTATAGACATGCAGAACACACACATAATTACTTTAAAAAAAATCTAATTTGTATTATTTTCATAACAGCTGGAGAACATTGTCAAACTGAATATTGATGCATTGGTACATTCGTTTTACTAGACATTTAGTTTGCCACACCAATGTGAATAAAGTTACATGTGAAATTAGAAGGGTTATAATCTGGGATCTTTGCCAAACTCAATAGTGATATCCTTCAAAAAACATTGTTTTCACATTATTTTGGGCAAAACAAATGAAGGATTAAATCTACCATTAATATATAACTATAGAAATACAGATGTTACTGTGAAAAATTAGGTGTAACTTAAAAAACAGTCCCATATATTTATTAACAGATCTCTTAATATATTGTTTTAAAACCTGATATTTATATATATATGCATATATATATATATATATATATATATATAATTATATTGAAGAAAGATGCATTATTCGGTCTTTTTAAGAATATTAACAGTTTTTAATCCATCAAAGGTTTACAGGTTGTTTGATCAACGTTTCGACCCGTTCGGGTCTTGAGGAAGACACGAACGGGTCAAAACGTTGATCAAACAACCTGTAAACCTTTGATGGATTAAAGACCGTTAATATTCTTATTTATCTTCTTATATAAGACCGTTAATATAATTATTTATCAGCATAAGATTGCACCAGGGCACTTTAGTATTTATTACATCAGGAAGGGTGAGTGCCATTATTTGTGCTTTATATATATATATATATATATATATATATATATATATATATATATAAAAGTTACTTTGCACTTTCACATTGAATATAGTAAACAATATAGTAAGTTTTAAGACGTTTTGCTGATAAAGTTATATTTTGATCATGGTTTACCAAAAACAGAACATGTACTTTTTGGAAGATCTCAAACAACATGGTCTTCTTTCATCCTGACCTTAATGTCTAAATATATAGTTTGCTCACTACTTTGATAAAGTTCCATTCACAAACAGCACTCCATTAAGCTCCAAAGATGTTGATATATGCTGTCTTAAAGAAAGTTAATTGATGTGACCAAAAACACTTCTAATAGCAAAATGAAGGGAATGCAAAACAATCCATTATTAATAGTGTGCAACATATCACTTAACTAGATAGAACAAGTAGCACGCACAGTGAGCGATATGACTTAGCTTATGGGTTTCACTTTAAGTAAATCCGTCAATGGGCATACAGCGGTAAAACATGTAGGATGACATATCCCCTTAACTCCTTTCATCTTCTTAAAAGCAATTGCTTGGTTGGGAAAGAAAGAATGTGTCCAAACATGCGGATTCTAGAATCAGTTTACACTCAAAACATTAGTTTTAAAGTTTTGTCATCTTGAATATCAGGACTGGACAGCTAGGGTATTTAATCTTTCTTTATTCTGCCTAACAAAGTAATAATCAAAGTGTGTTATCGTTAATGCCACTCTTACATTTTCAAGTGTGAGTATAGATGTTATTATCAAACTTAAAAATCTTCAATCATTTGACTAAAGAAGGATGAAAATCTGAATTGATGCAGAGGAGAGCATAACTTGCAACACTTAAATGTTAGTAGTTAACATAATTAATGCAGTAAATAATTGATTTGTGTTAATGCACATAAATGTAAGCCCTGGGCATCTGGTGAAGGTGGGATCGTGACTGATGCACACAACTGTGGGGATTGGTCAGCTGGGCAAAAGGGACTAAGGTAAATAAAAGGGGGCTGTAACAGGATGGCCTTCTGAAAGTGGCACTGCCATAAAAGTTGTTCTCTAATGTTTAACCTAGGTAATTTGCATACATTTGCATATATCTGCATATGTGTTTGCATGGCTCCCCGTAAATTGAATGATGTGTTGCTCGATGCTATTCCTTGTGGTGAAAAAAGTGTTTTGGGTATTGTACTGAGTTGTTGTCTCTTGTATGGCGGTCAGAGGAGGGGATATATGTTTGTTTAGTGGGTAGAGGACAAGACCTTACCGCGAAGAACCATAATGGTATCTGGTGTCAGGGGATGACATTTTCTTCTAACACTAAACACCTCGCTAAACACAAATACTCAATTAAATCTAAGCTTTTTCTAACTGGAAGAACACCACTATCCCCATACATAGAAACATCCCTTCAAGGCCATGGACCCTCAATCTAGCCATGTCTTTGGTGCTCCAGCAGCTGGGGGTAAAGGCATGTGCATGCTCCAATACTTGAATATCTTTGCAATGCTGATTCATTGGCTGATTATGCTTCTTATGAGATAACATAATCAAATCTGTTCATTACTATAGGCACATTTCCCCCCCATTCCCACTCTGCAATCCCATAATCCATTTCCAAATCCAGTCCCAAAATCCCACATCACAACTTCAAAGTGCCAGTGTTGCTGGTAGTTTTCCTAGCTCCCGTTTCCTAATCCCACGTCCTAGCTCAGAGGCCTACTTCCTAACTCAGGCCTTACTCTCAAACCCCTTTCCAGGTCCAGATCCAACCTCATATCCAAAATACCTGGTGCTGGTTCCAGCTCCCTCGCAATGCTCTGTTTGACAGAGCCGTTAAGTATGTAGAAAGACATCTTACTGACCTCTTACTGGGAGCAAAAAAAAAAAATTAAAAAATATCACACACTATGCTCAGATATACATAATGATGCCTAACTAATGAGTATTAGCCTGCTAAAAGAACTGGCTATACAATCTAAGGACACATCACTAAAGACAGTTTGGCTAAAACGAAAACGAGTTTAACTAATATTACACAACACATATAGAAAACATACATTTAAAAACCAAGCGATAAGTCATTAAAGAATTTAACTATTATAACTGGATGTGACCATTTACTATAAAAGTCTTTTGATACATTAATCTATAATTTACAGAAGCATTTCTTTGTACAGAACATCATTTGTTTTTTATCTTAGCAATATATATCCAGATTTTCAGTTATTTTAACTTTGCCAAAGGGTGTAAATAATCTTCTTTAGTATTAAAAAAAAAAAAACCTACACAGTACATAATGGTGGCTTTACAGAAACCATAGGGTTAAATAATGTTAGAACAAATAAAACCTTTTAAATGCAGTCTAGCTCTTGCAGATTTTGGTTTGAATGCTTTTTTCATGTCTTTAGATCAGGCCTGTAAAATCCTTTGTTACTGACCAAAAGATCTTTTTGTTGAAACACTGTAGCAGTGTAATTGGTTGAGTAGGCCTGTCCAATCTCATGGATTGACCTTTCACACCATATGCTAAAGGAGTACTATAGAATCAGAGTGGATGTAATTTGGGTAAAAGGCTACTTCTTCCCAACACGTTGAGAGCCTATTTCACGCACACAAACAGTTGGAAGAAAGCTCAATCAAGACCGCAACTTAACACTTTAGCTCTGTTCTTGATGAATAAAGAAGCAACTGCATTCAGATGATACACAGGCCCCTAGCTCTTCATAACCAGTAATAGGCAACTATTATGACTGAAGAGCGCAAAGGTGAAAAGAGCTTAGAGCACAAAGACGGCATCAGTTCATAGTGTGGTCTACAACGCTAGGGTTTCTTTCCAATAGTCCATTGACATGTCTATGGAATGCACCGTTCTCATTTGGAGATGAAGAAGCAGCCTTTGAGATTTACAGCGCTCAATACACTTTTAATATAATGCCTTTACAGAAGGAGTTCAATTTAAATGGAACATTTGCAAATGGACTCTAGAACAGTTTTAATTTTTACTCAAAAAAACAATTGTCAGCTGTGGTTAATTTCTTCTAAATTTCTCAAACTCATAGATTTAGTTTGAGTATGGTTCCATTTCTTTAGTTACCAAGCCCTGGATGGAATGCTTTGTGTATTTTATTACAGATTCTTTGTTTTAAAAATCATTAGTATATCTTAACCTCTTCATTTCCGAACCTATGTATACATAGTCTTGGTGTTGAAGGATCTTAGATACTTCTTGTGTGGAAAATTAGTGATTTATTTAAAACCCTACAAGTTTTTATCCATAAAATATACATACATACACATACATACTCATCTAAATATCTAGACACATAGAATTGTATAAAACAATTAACAGGACAAAAGCTCAATTTTTTATAAATTAAGCAAAAATGGGAGTTGTGGTGTGTTCTAATCTTGGGCTCCGTGAGGCTAGATAGGTAGACAGACAGATGCACACTAAATATTGATAGGTAGACAGACAGACGCACAGCAAACATTGTGTGGGCTCTTCAGTTTACTGGTGAGCCAATATTTGTAAGTGTGAACTTTTAAAAGGACATTGAAATGTACTACATCTTCATCATATCAAAAAATTGCTGTAACAAAAGCAACTTTTCAGCAGCAAGACCAGACAAAGTCAGTCTTAGCTGTGCCCCAAATGAGCAGGAGAAACAGCAGCAGCACAAAGATCCATGCCACTATGTGTTACATTCAATTAACTCTTATTGGGATGTAGAGTTTGCCATTGGTGGCTGCTTTCCTCTGTTCCCTTCTAATATACACCAAAACTGCTTCAGTCAATCCACAATCATAGTAAAAACAAAGAGAACGTTACCTGTGCTCTGGCCTAAATCCCCATGTACATTTAAACAAAATGGAGGCTCTTTAGTTTTATTCCAATGGCCATTTGGATATATAAGATCACCTAAAAACTAAAGAGCCTCCATTTTGTTTAAATACACATGGGGATTTAGGCCAGAGCACAGGTAACGTTCTCTTTGTTTTTACTATGTATTTTAAGCCGTTGGATACTAAGCTACTGCTGCTGTAAGCGCGGTGCTTTATCTTTGTGTCTGTATATGAATTTTGTATCACACAGCTATGTTACATTGCTGCCAGCCTCCCCACGTTTGTCTTATTAAGAGTTTATAAGTATGTAGGGGCAGCACCCCTTCCTGTCTCATCAGAGAAATTTGCCTTTTAGCTGATACCAGCAAGGTGATTTGTATGAGTTATAGCCCTATTCAGGGTTAAGTATGTAGGGGTTTATAAAACACCCCTTCATGTCTCATTAGAGATGTTTACACTTTGTCTGATACCAGCAAAGTTTATTGTATGTGTAGAAGCCCTATAAAGGGTTAAATGTGAAAGGGTTTATAAAACACCCCTTCCTGTCTCATTAGAGATGTTTACACTTTGTCTGATACCAGCAAAGTTTATTGTATGTGTAGAAGCCATATAAAGGGTTAAATGTGAAAGGGTTTATAAAATACCCCTTCCTGTCTTTCTGGAGATTCGTGGCTGATATCAGCATGTCTAATGGCTAGTGTAGGAACTCACCTTTTGAGGCTTGCCTTGACGTGGCAGGTGAGCTTATATATTCAAATGGCCATTGGAATAAAACTAAAGAGCCTCCATTTTGTTTAAATGTACATGGAGATTTAGGCAGAGCGCAGGTAACGTTCTCTTTGTTTTTACTATGTATTTTAAGCTGTTGGATACTAAGCTACTGCTGCTGTAAGCGCGATGCCTTATCTTTGTGTTTGTATATCAATCCACAATCATATTGTAGACAGTCTGAGTAAATAAGTAAACACTGTGTGTCTGTCTATTTTGTGTTACTGAGTGTCCTCTTCTTCTAATGCAGGATACATAGCTTCCAGCAGTTCAGCTCTCTCAGGCCTCTTAGTCCCTGAACTTTGGACAAATAGTGATAAGGAAGTACTTTTTAGAATGGGTAAAGTGTGACAAAACAATCTTAGAAATAGTATGTAAATGTAATGCCTTCTTAAGATATTATAATTTTTATTCCTATCTATTTTTTAGTATTGTACATTGATTGGGCTAGATGTAATGAATTACTTGCTTCAAGTCAGGACCACAACTATTTTGGATTGAAGGAGCATTAGGGTCCCTGTCCCTACATCTATATAGTTCCCCCCATTTGCAATACAAATGTAAAAATTCGATGTTTCACTTAACTTTTCTGTGTCGATGCTCCCTCAGCACTGCTTACAACTTCACCTCCTCTAACATCGTTGAGGAGACATGGCTTCCTCCTTGATGGTCCAATCCAATGCTTCTTACAGAGGAGCATTGGAAACCAAATGTCAATGCTTTCCAATGGGAGGACTCACGTGGCCAAGTTTTATTTGGTAAGTACAGTGGAAGCACCTCTAGACTCTGTCAGTATGATGGCACTTAAGATGGTCTTAACCCTGCAATGTAAACATTGCCGTTTCTACAAAAACTACAATGTTTTCCACTGCAGGATTAAAAGGACAATGACACCGCACCCTCGCCACATTATTGAGATAAAGTAATCTGGGTGACCATCGTGTCCCTTTATGGTCATAACATTCACTTGAACACTCTAAAAAGAAAAATCTTATGCTTCAGAAATTCATTTGTAGGTTTTCTCTTGTTCAGGATCAGTGTTGTGCAACGAAACACACTACATCTCCCAAGTGGAGGCCCTAACATCTACATCTTCATTTAGAATTTACTGATACAGAATTAATTGTTTAGCCAATGAATGAGAGCTATCTGCATTCAATATATTTAATGCAGCTCCGAACCATGATACTCCCACTTCCAATGACGGGATGAGGTCTTTTAGGCTTTAATGTAATGTTTAGTTTTTGCCAAACATAATGTTTCTCATTTAAGACAAAAATTACACTTCATCTCATCTGACCATAATAAATCCTTTGAATAGCCATTTGGCTCATCTAAGTGGCCTTTTTTAAACTCAAAATAGATGGCAGTGTTTCTTTTGGAGAGCAGTGTTTTCTTCCATGGTTGACAGCTTTCACAGCGCGTTTGATTAGTGTTTTTCTTATTGTGCACTGTTCCTGCTCATTGCCTATATCTTGCGGCTGTAAAAACAACCCAGTTACAACAGTGTAATGATTAATTTACTAAGAAATAAAATGTATTAGTTATTCACTACATTTTAAGAGCTACAGTTTGAGGACCTCATAGGATGGTCCATCCCATCACATCACTCTTCCTAAAACAACCCTTTATGTGATATGGTCAAAATCCATTAAAAACATTGAACAAGTAGAAAATATATGCAATCACCAAACAGAGTATTTATTTGTTTGGATTTACGTTAATGTCAAATTTACATTGCACCTATGCCAAAAATGGTATTCACTAACTGGCGTAACATGCCACTCTTATTAGAAACAAGAGACTGGAGTACTCCTTAGGAAACCATAGAAGCCACAATATCATTTGGTATTCACTAAATGGTATAGAAGTTTCATGGCCTGAAAAAAAATGCCTTTTACAGTCATAAGTGTAACACCAAGTCAGATAAGGTGTAAGATTAGGTAAGAGATCTCATTAGGTAAGAGATGTAAGTACAGTTAACCCTGCAGCACTGAAAAGAAAAAAGCCAAATGAAATAAAGTGATATATTGTGAGGTCTGTGAGATACCCACATGTAAGTAAAGGGAACTGATCAGTTTCCTCATAATTGAGAGAGTTAATATGCTCTTTATAAACCCCCATGGAATCTCCTAGGATCCCAGTAATACTTGGAGAGGCCTGAAGAGGTAAATTGTCTGTCTCCACCCCATGCACTGCAGGGAGAAGAGTAATAATATTGGACCCGGAGATGGCCGGTCTCAGGGCCTCTAGAAATCTGATATGGGGCCCAGGATAGAGGTTTTCACCATTGAATAATTCATCTGGAATGATAGGTATCTCCAAACCCCTAGTCACTCCATAAATATGAGCCCATCTACTTGTAAATACACATTACTGGGCAAGTCTCACCGAGAAAGCTGCTAATACATATAACCGATGTGCAAGAATGTAAAGGATAAGCACAGCGTTGCCATAAAATCTTCAGGGAATACGACTGGCACATCCTAGTCTGGGCAAAGCTTGTAGCTGTCACAAAGCATAGTTAATTTGGTTAAGATGGTAATTTTTGGAGCGCTCTTTTAAAAAAGAAAAATAAATTTTGGAACACCATTGAGAGTTGGTATAATATTAAAGTTGCTGCTACAACACACTCTAATTGTGGTACCCTTAAACACACATATTATTAAAAAAAAGAGGTAATTGAGAGTGGAGCAGTATATCACAAGTAACCATTTGGGTGATGTACCCCTAATAAATATAAAGTGTGAGGGAGTAAATGCAATTCAAGAATAATACTTAATATTCAGAAGATGGCATTCATATAACAATTCCTCAGCACATATAGGAGAAAATGCATATATATATTTATTAGGGGTACATCACCCAAATGGTTACTTGTATACTGCTCCACTCTCAATTACCTCTATTTTCTAAGCATAGTTAATTTGCCAGACCTTTCAAGAATAAAGCTGACAACCGAACTGCATTTTATTTCTACTATTTTTGATTAATTACCTTGATATGTATTTTAATGCATTACCTACAAATCACGATTATATATAAAAAAAAAGCAACAACAATATTTTAAACATTTGCATTAATAGCATTACAAGCAGGAGGATTAAGTGCAATAGTCTCGATTTCTACAGGGAAGAATAGATAATTGGAATTGCAAATGCTTCACTGTAAACATGCTGACAGAATGAAAATATGTAGTTTTGTATAGAGTAAACAAAAAGAATCAAAAAAATCATGTGAGTATATTGTATAGAATGTATAGATCAAAATAAAGCACAATTCTGGCCCTGTATATGATGCATATAAAACAAGCAACTGCTTGTTATCAAAGAGATATAGTCACCAGATCCCAAGTCCCAGGAGACCCCACCACTATAATGTGTTTGAAATACTGAGTGTATCGAATTTATTATTCACTACTCACATAGTATTAGTAATAATCATATGATAAAGTCCATTTGACTATAAGTAAATTAAAAAAACAAACAAACCAAGAATTTATTATTAACACTACCCAGATTAGATTACAAAGTAATGATGCTGGTGAAATTACTTTAAATTGTACTGTGTATAAAGTGCACACCAAAAATTGCGCACACTCAAAATACAGCTGCAAATCTTGCAAAACTTCAAATCACTGTGACTCAAGCTAGAACTGGTGTTATTTTGGTTATACTACAAATGTGTTTGCTGATTTGTTCCATACAGTATTTTAAAAGTCCCACAAACATTCAGTAATCATTAGAAAGGCTGCCATATTATTTTCTTCCCTTCAATACAAAATACATTGTATTATTTTTTTTAGATCAGATATGACTGTCTCCATCTGCTCCCAAATACTTTAGATAAGTCCACATTTCCTGCCACCCAGATAGATTTCACAACAATCTTAAACATATTCTATACTGACTGGTCAATCGCTACATAAAGACATAAGGTTTTACTAATATTTTATTGAGTTGTTTTTTGGATATCATTCATTAATTGGACTGATTTTTCATAATTATCCCCAATAATAATGCTACAATAATTAAATTATAATTTTGCAAAATAAAACCTGACAAGTTAACAAAATGTATTTCTATTTAATGCTAATTAAATAACTTAACAATTATTGCTATTATGACAATAATAATACATTTTATAATTAAATTAACTTCTGGTATATTTTATTGTATCATAGAAAACCACTCTAAATAAATCAAATTATGCAAGCAATATTTTAATGAATTTTAAAAATTCCAACATTAAAAAAAAAATACAATGGAATAAATATAACATTAATGCAATATTAAATGCATTATTTTATTTTCTGTTGTGTCACCCACATTTCGATTGTTATAGTTAAT